CATTTAAAAACTTACACTTAAAATTATTTTTTAAACATTTTTTTAGTTGTAGATGGAAACAATACCTTTATTTTATTTGTTTTTATTTTTATGTGGTGCAGGGAATCAAACCCAATGCCTCATGCATGCTAGGCAAGCGCTCTACCACTGAGCCACATCCCAGGCCCCTTAAAATTATTTTTTAATTAATTTTATTTTTAAATACATGACAGCAGAATGCATTACAATTCCTATTACCCGTATAGAGCACAATTTTTCATATCTCTGTTTGTATGTAAAGTATGTTCACACCAATTCATGTCTTCATACATGTACTTTGGATAATGACGTCCATCACATTCCACCATCCTGTTAACCCCCTGCACCCTACCTTTCCCTCCCACCCCTCTGCCCTATCTAGAGTTTATTTATTCCTCACATGCTCCCCCTCCATACCCCACTATGAGGCAGACTCCTTATATCAGAGAAAACATTCAGCATTTGTTTTTTGGGGGAATTGGATAACTTCACTTCAACTCCATCCATTTACCTGAAAATGCCATGAATTTATTCTCTTTTAACAATGAGTAATATTCTATTATGTATATATGCCACATTTTCTTTATCCATTCATCTACTGAAGGGTATCTAGATTGGTTCCACAACTTAAAATTATTTTGCTGATTACGCCTGAGTTTAAAACCACTACTTAATATTTTTTACCATGTCTACCTCTTTTTTCTTTAGATCAATTTTCCATTAATTTTGTTAGTGTTGTATATCATTTTTCTACTAATTTGGTTTTTATCTTACAAATAATAATACAAATACTTATATTTTCAATGACTAACAATATTAATACTTTTACCCTTGATCCCCAAAATGTGAAGAATCTTTTACATTGAATGTCACTGATCTTTCCCTAAACACATACCAAATTATTCTCATATTTTAATTCTAGCTATGCACGTAATTAAACCCTATAAGGCTTTACTCTTCTTTGATACAGTCTTTAATGTTAACCATACACTTGTTCCTTTTTTTTTACATTCCATTCCTACCTATGTGTCTGACCAACTGTATCTTTTTTCTGTTGATGGATGAATAGCTCAACATTTTCTTTAGTTTTTGCCTACTTTTGAGTAAACTCTGATTTTATTTATCTAAAGTGTCTCCTTTATAAAAATAATTTTTAAAAGCATCTCGTTTAATCTTCATTTTTGAAATATATTTCAGTGGGAATTGAATTCCAAATGACAGAATATTAGAGTTCTTTTGGTATGTTACTCCTAAGTTTTTTCTAAAAATATTGCTTTATAAAAGTAATAGTATTCTGGAATCCACAATATGAATTATTCTTATTCAAATAAATATCAGTGTTTTATCAACAAAATCATTGTTGTATTTTAATGATTCAAAATAATCACAACTTTCTTACCAGCTTATTTGGGGAGGGGGGTTACCTAATGTATTGAGTCACATGCAGAAATTATTGAAATGCTATGTTTGAAGTATACATGGTAAAATATAAAGTCTGTTTGATTTTGATCCTAATAAAAATAATAACCCTTTATTAATACAATATTATAATGATTGAATGCTATCCCTGACACAAAGGAAAATATTTATTGCTATTTAGTGATAGTGATATGACATTGTACCTACTTTATTTTTTAAAATAAATGTTTCTAAAAAAACCTATTTGTTAGCCATAAATAGACAAATCATAAAAAACCTTCATCATAAAAATTAAAATAGTTCACACTTCATTTATAGGAAAACCAGGGTAATTTTTTATACATTGATAATCAATACCAATGGAGAGAGCCTTAATGGCTATTTCATAAAAACAATTTAATACTAAAAGTATTGATGAAATGTTGCTTAATCAGCAAAGTGTAAATATACTCAAACACCAGTAATTATGTATGTTTCCTAAGTTTAAACAAATGCCTAATGACTGTAGCAGTGATATTACCAATATGACATGCAAGGTATCATTTTGCACTATAGTAGACCATGTATTTTGCTTATGTCCTAAGAGATATTTTACACACTACCCCTTTATTTTGAAATGTAATTTAAGTATAGTCATTTCCAAATTCCCTCGAAATATTTGTGATTTTTTTCTGAATTTTTCCTAATTAGGTAGATAAATGTTACAAACATCTTAAGCTTTATGTTTTTAAGCAGTATATTTGAAACTAATTTAGTAATTGCTGGCAAAAAATACCAGCGAAGATACAATCAATGCTAAATATCACTGTTGAGATTATTTTACTCTGTAATCTATCCAATTTGTTCTTCTTTATCATGGAGGCAATTACTTCAAAAATTGTGCTTAATTCTTCTCTAGTGGTAGCAGAAATTTATGCATTGTGGGTCATATTCTTTTTTATTATCATGTTGGTATATTATATGATTGACATTATGGTATAATTTTCATTGGGGTCTGAATTTTTCTAATATACTATCTTTTCCACTTAGAGTCCGACAAGCTTCCATACTTTATGCATCTTCAGTTTTTTTGGAGTGTTTTGGATTCTAGATCCACAGAATAACAATCTATATAATTTTCTGAAATGATATTCTTTTTTCTAGTATCTATTATCTTGTTTCTATTATTATCCTCTATTTGTTCTTAGAATCTGATGCAATGGAATTCTTTCTTCTAATTGAGATGTTTTTAAGTACTTCTGACAGGACTAATGACATTGAAGCAGAACTATATTTATGCCCTAATAAAATGCTAGTAAAACTTAGTGTAAGATTCTTCAATACCAATAGTATAATGTAAGCCTCAATTTCCTAAATTTCTTCATATTCAACCGAACAAAAGATACTACTGATGTCCAGATTTCAATTAAAGCAATTACTAAAAAAATATGCAAAAAGGCAAACTTTCTGAAATTTTCTATTTCTTTCCATTCTCATGTTCTCCATGACTTGTGTCTGTTATGAAACTTTTTCTGCCAATACCATTGGTGTTGGTTCTGCCACTGTCACAAATGTTATCATCACTGTTACCTTTAGCTTACTTGTGTGGAACCACACTCTGACCTCAATATACAGCAGAGAATGTAAAAGAGTGCTTCCGAGAGCCCCAGAAATAAATATAGATATAACAACCGTACCTTCACATGCCTCTTTTGCCCTATTCTATCTCACTTTTTTAGAGCTTCCCAATAAGCACATGTATTTTTTCTCATTCTATTGTTTATGTTTCTGACTTTTACTTCTCTATTTTCTACATTTTTGTATATTGTATAATGACATTGTATAGTTTCTTCTGACTTATTTATTAGTTCTCTACTTTTCCTACTATGTTTCATTTATTATTGTACCCATCAACCAAGTTCTTCATTTATTGTGTTTTTCAGTACTGGGACTATTCTCCCTACCTCCCACTTTGCTAATTTCATATTTGATAATTTACAGTTTCTTTGTGAAAATTGTGAGCTCAACTTTTTCTCCATGAGAATCATGTGATATTTACATTTTTTTGTAATCAATGTGTTATCCCTTTCTGCTTTCTCTAATTTCCATTGATTTTTACTTGTGATGAACTTATCCTTATTTGTTTAGATACTATTAAATGCATGTCAAAAATGATATTTTAAAAGTCATTCATAGAAATACTTTGAGATTTATTAAAATATTATCTTCTTCCAAAGAAGAATTTTATTTGCCTCTGCCTAGTTCCTGGGAATAATAGAAATCTGGGATCACCTTCATTTTAGTTCAAGACTTAAGTTTTCTCATTTACTTTGACTTAGCCATGGTACAGTATTCAAGGGATATATACTATTGATCTTTCCTTATTTCTACACCACAGAATTACAAGTAATCAGCCAAAAGTAATGGGTGATCTATATAGATTAGCTTCAACTTATGATCCTATGATATTAACAAAAATTTGAATCAAAATTTCAGTTACTTATTTGGGAACAATATATTCCTGCAAGGCCAAAGTGACCCTAAGTGCCAGGCTTAAATTTTAGAATTTTATGCTCTTGTTGGGAAATTGAAATTTCCCACCAACAATAACAATTTTATCTCTACCTTATGGCCTCTTACTTTAAAAAAATTAAATATTAATCTAATTGTTTTTGTCACTGGAGATTTTGACCCATGTTACTAAATTTCCACTACTGGAATAAAATATCTAGATTCATTTGTCATTAATAAAAACAAATTTACATAAATATTCTAGTAAAGATTCCCATTAGAAGCACTAGTTTAGAATTCTAATCCTAAAGGGCTTGGAACTTTGCCATGAATTTGTAGCTTAAATGAAAAAAAAGGGCACCAATATATTCACTTTTTTATATTTACTTTTATTTCTCTAATAGAAATTACCTATAGAATAATGAATCCTTTGAGGAGTTTAAAGATGGAATAAGTAAAACTAACAAATACAAAATTTAATTTTCTTTCCAATCACATTCTGTATTTTTTTCTGAATTCATAACATTCCCAAACAGGCTGAATTACCCTGATTTCTGATTTCATGATTTTTTTAATAAAAGAAAATTGCACAGGATGAGGAAAAACAAAGACTTTCCATGGGTGCATGGTATCTTGAGTAGAGGAAACATTTATGGCATATACTTTAAATGTCTTTGTTTTCCATTTTCTCACAATACTACCTTATTTAGAAGCATGAATCCAGTCAGGATTGGTGTTCAAATGATATACTGTGGGAGGGTACAGTCTATCAGATAGTGCTTGTTAGCCTTTTAATAGTCATCACTCACTGCTACTTGGGTTATGTACACTCTCCAGTAGAGGGAGTTTGGGTTGGGAACAACCAGCATCTACTCCCTCATCCCTTCCCTATAATATTGTAGGTATGTCAGAATATAAGCAAAAAATAAAAAATAAAAAATGCAAGAACTGAGCAGGTCTAAAAAGTGTTGGGCATACAAGAAGTATTTTATAAATAGTAGTCATTTTCTGAGAAATAAAATACCAAGTACACATAATAAAATATACTAATAAGAAATATTGTATTATCCCACATAGTAAGACAGTCTTACTGTACATGTTGCATCCTCATCAAATGTGTAGGTGTGATTTATTGAGCATCCTTCATGAAGAGGTTGTAAAGGAGTAACTTTTAGTGGGCTTGTCCAACCTGAAAACCAAAATTCCTGTACTTTGGTTAAAAGCATTATGAAGAAATTTCTTTTCTAACAGCACTACTTCCTATTAGAGACCTAAGTTTTATGGTGATAATTGATTTGTAATGGATTATATAATATCTTTTCTGGATCTCTCAGGAGTAAAGGCAGAATAATTCTGGAACTTGTAAGTTAGTATAATTATAATATTGGAGACTTATTTAGTATTTTTGATTTATTATTGGAAGAGATCTATTGGGTACCACAAATCTGTACATGTGTATATGTAGACGTTCTGGGGATGATTATAACATAAAATGAGTGTGATTACTAAGCACCTAATTTAGCTAATGCTAGATTATCAAAGTCCCAAGAGACTACCAATATAAAATATTTCATCAAAATATAAAATCAGTCTTCAAAAAGTACTTATTGTACCCAAAGTGGAAGGTCATGGATATATAAAGATGAAAAAAAGTTTCTGACTTTGAGGTACCCAAGAGCAAATGAAATATTCAGACATGGTAGTAGAGACTTTCTTGAAGAAACCCTTGGTCTTATCTTGAAAATTAAGTAGGACCTAATTTGAAAAATCCATATTATATATTATATAGGCAGGCAAATAACATTTGCAATGATAGGTCTATCCTGTGACAGTATCACAGCATTAAGGAATTACAAAATGCTAGTTATAGGTAGATCATGAAGTGGTATACAGGGAATGGTGGAAGGTAATCAATAGAAATAAGACAGAAATCAGCAGAGGAAAGCTTTGAACTTAACCCATAGATGAAGTGCCCTTGGAGGTTGTTAGAGAGATTGATAACTCTGGAAAATTACTGTGGTTTGCATAGGAGACTATTCTAGGCAAAAAATAATGGTAGTATTTCTGGTATTTCCATAGCAATTATTTCTCCAACCCCATGGGATAAAAGACACTTCTGACTTTGTCCTCTACTTTAGAGCTTTGCTGCATGAATTTGGGAGCTAGTTGGACAGTACAAAGATGGGAAAGAATGGGAGAGAGAAATAGCAAGAGATGGCTGTGACAGCACAGAAGCTCAGTGTCCAGTTGTGGATCCCTACTCTGGTGGAGCTCAATAACAGACTAATTTATCATGGGTCCAAATAATGGATGTTCTTTCTTGCCTATGTGCCAGAGTAGTCTACATGAGTTAATGAAGGAAAATAAAATTCACCTTATAATTACATACAGCAAGCAAAATAAATACACATCTCTCAGCTTCCCTTCAGAGGGAAAGAATTGATAAAATTTCTGACCAGGATGATAAGTATAGGTTTTCTTTTTTAAAAAGCCAGTTATTAAGGAACCAAAGAGGTGCTTGCCTTGTCTAATACACAAACAGCTACAAATAGAGCTAAGGAAAATGAAGAATCAGGCAAGATCCTATAGATTAGTAATTCTTTTGAGCTTCATCTTCCTCACCTCTAATGACTACCATCAAAGATGAAAACTGCAATTAAAGAATATAATGGAATGGGCAAAATTTATAGTTCTTTGGGTATCTCCAGAAAAGCCAAGTGTTAAATCAACTCTTTCTATAATATATGACTCTGGATCATATACCATTTTAATAATAATTATGACCTGGTCAATATTTGACTAGGATATCAAGATAGAATATGCACAGGAGATTTGCAAGGAAAAGATGGGGAACACGTGTATGATGATTAATGGTTTGTGGATTTGGAAGGCCAATAAGAGAGATTAGAATGTCATAAGGGCCTAATATATCATTTCTGACTTTGAAGGGTACATAGGAGGATGTGGGTGACCTCCAGAGGCTAAGAGAGTACCCTGGATGACACTGAACAAGGAAGAAGACCCTTCAGATGCAAGGAACTGTAGGCTAAAATGATCTGAATGAGATTGAAAGCAGATTTTAGGTAAGAGTCAAGATAACACCTTGAATGGTTAGATCCTAAACAGAAGACTCAATTGAGATTACACACATTTCTGTTTCACAATATTTTCATATAAGTAATGGGTATTGTTTTAAGCAGCTAATTTGTTTGCCACAATATGTTAGAGCAGCAAGAAGAAACTAATACAGATGCAGTGGTGAGTGGCCAAGGCAAAGGGAAAAAGGTAGTGATGAATCACATAATCATTTTGATTTTGAGAACCATATGCATAATTCTATCTATAATATATATATAGGCAAATGAAACACTCTGCCAAAAGATGCAGGATAGCTCTTAGTCATTCACCTTATTTGGAGTCATTTGAGCAACTGCTTTGAAAAATGCGGAAAGTAGGAAAATAAAACAAAAAATGTAATTTTTGTACTGAGGTGGAGAAGGAAACAGAATGAGGAATTATAGCTACCACTTAAGGATAATCATATTTAGGTCAAAGTCCTTTTCTGATGCTGTCCTTTCTTCCATAGTGATTTAGCATCACTGCTGAAAAATGAACTACCCAAAACCTACTAGCTTAAAGAAATCATTTATTTTCTTCTAGTATAGTGTCATACAAGAGACCCCTTAACTTGTTTTACTCTGGGAAAAAGGAAGTTGGTTCCCATTTCCAGCACTCAAATCTTTTCCAAGGGTGCTCCCCAGAAAACTGACTTCTTTTGCATCAACCTTGGAGTCCTAAAAGAATTGGCACAATGAGAGACCCAGGAGAGTAAAAAAATGGCAGTTTGGGCTAGTAAATCCTAGATTCTTTGCATAATTAGTACAAAGTGAGCAGATGAAAAATCCCTGCGAAGAGAGTCAATTTATCCAGGTGTCCAGTGTTCCACCTTCTTTAGGGTTGTCCAAAGAAATACCATCTATCTTACCATTCTGGAGCTATGTGGTGCTGGCATAGTCTAGACACTTGGAGAATACAGAGACAATGAATTAGGCTGGTAGCTTATCATAGATCTACATCTAGAGGTAGTACCATAGATCCAGAGTCATAAATTATAGAAAGAGTTGATTCAACACTTGACTTCTCTGGAGATACCTAAAGAACCAGAATATCTCTGAAGCTCTAATGGGTTTGATAAAGTCCAGCTGCCTGTGGGAGAATAAGATGGAATTCTGAGTGTTAGAAACCATAGCTCACCCCCTGTTTAGCATAGAGCAAGCATCATAAATTATCATCTTTCAGTTTCCCTTGAAAGGGAAAAAACTGGTAGAAACTCTGATCAGGATGATGAGTGGAGGTCTTTGTTAACAAAGCCAGTTCTCAAAGACTAGAAGAGGTGCCTGCTTTGTCTTAGCTACAAAGAGACTCAAGGAACATGAAGAATCAGGCAAAGATCCTCCACACAAAGGAAGAAGTTAAATCTTCAGAGAATAATACTAACAAAGTGGAGTTATGTGTTTATCTGACAAAAATTCAAAATAACTATCATAAAGTTTCTCAGCACACCAAGACAGACTGGTAGACCAATAGTGCAGAATAGAGGACACAGAGACTAACCCACAAAATTACAATTATCTTATATTAAACAAAGGTGCCAAAAACATACATTGGAGAAAAGAGAGCATCTTCAACAAATGATGCTGGGAAAACTGGAAATCCATATGCAATAAAATGAAATTAAACCCCTATCTCTCACCATGCACAAAACTCAACTAAAAGTGGATCAAGGACCTAGGAATTAAACCAGAGACTGTGCATTTTACAGAAGAAAAAGTAGGCCCTAAACTTCATCATGTTGGATTAGGCCCCAACTTCCTTAGTAAGACTCCTATAGTGTAAGAATTAAAATCAAGAATCAAGAAATGGGATGGATTCAAATTAAAAATTTTCTTCTAAGCCAAAAAAAAATCTATGAGGTGAATAGAGAGCCTACATTTTCGGAGCAAATTTTTACCCCTTACACATTAAATAGAGCACTAATCTCTAGGGTATATAAAACACCAAAAAACCAAATAACTCAATCAATAAATGGGCCAAGGACCTGAACAGACACTTCTCAGAAAAGGACATACAATCAATCAACAAATATATGAAAAAATGTTCAACATCTCTAGCAATTAGAGAAATGCAAATCAAAACTACTATAAGATTTCATCTCACTCCTGCCAGAATGGTAGCTATTACGAATACAAACAACAATAAATATTGATGAGGATGTGGAGGAAAAGGTACACTCATACATTGCTGGTGGGACTGCAAATTGGTGCGGCCAATATGGAAAGCAGTATGGAGATTCATTTGAAAACTGGGAATGGAACCACCATTTGACTCAGCTATCTCTCTTCTCTATATCCAAAGGACTTAAAAACAGCATACTACAGGGACACAGCCACATCAACGTTTATAGCAGCACAATTCACAATACCTAAACTGTGGAATAAACCTAGATGCCCTTCAGCAGATGAATGGATAAAAAAGGTGACATATATACACAATGGAATATTACTTAGCAATAAAAGAGAATAAAATCATGGCATTTGCAGGTAAATGGATGGAGTTGAAGATAATGCTAAGTGAAGTAAGTCAATCCCCCCAAAAAACAAATGCTGAATGTTGTCTCTGATATAAGAAGACTGATTCATAGTGGGTTAGGGAGGGGGAGCATGGGAAGAATAGATGAACTCTAGATAGGGCAGAGGGGTGGGAGGGGAAGGGAGGAGGCAGGGAGTTAGAAATTATTGTGGAATGTGATGGATATCATTATTCAAAGTACATATATTAAGATACAAATTGGTGTGAATATACTTTTTATAGGAGAGATATGAAGAGTTGTGCTCTATATGTGTAATATGAATTATAATACATTCTGCTGTTATGTTTATATATATATATATAAATCTACATATTTATATATATATATATAAACAAATAAAGTGCTCAGCAGGATAAAGAGAATCAGAACTAAAAGAAAAATATATAGCATTACAGTACTAGTAGGATATATCAATATACCACTTACAATAATTGATGTAACCTCCAAACAGAAGTTCAATAAAGAAGCAGAGGATTTAAGTAACACATAGAACAGATGTGCCTAAGAGACATATAAAAAACATTCCACCCAACAGCAGCAGAAAATACATCCTTACTAAAGAAAAAAAAGCATTTTCCAGGATATTTCATGTTAGTTCACGAAATCAGTGTTAACAAATTTAAGACTTAAATGATGCCAAAATCCTTTACTGACCACAATGGAAATAAACTAGTAATCAATAATAAATAAAATGGGAAAATTCAGAAACATATAGAAATTATACAATACACTATTAAACAAGAGTCTTCTTTGGATCAAAGAGGAAATTAGAAAGAAAATCAGGAAATACATGAAGATAAATGAAAATGAAAACACAACACATCCAAATTTATGAAATGCAGCTAAATCAGAAGGGGGAAGTTCATAGTAATAAATACCTACATTAATACAGAAGGAAAATCTTTTAAAAGAAACTGAAATTTATACCTCAAAAGGAGTGATATAAAGAGGAGCAAAATGATCCCATAGAAAAAGAAAATAACAAAAATTAGAGCATGTATTAAAAATAAAAATGGAAACACAACAGAGAAAAATCAATGAAACCAAAATTTTGTTCTTTGAAAAAAAAATCATCAAAGTTGACAAACATTTAGCAAGATTGACAAAGTAAAAATGAAAAGAATCCAAAAACTAAACTCAGAAATGAAGGAGTCATTACAATTGGTTTTACAGAAACAAAAATGATTGTAAAAGAGTTCTGTGAATAATTGTGCACTAAGAAACTGGGTTACCTAGATGAAATGGATGAAGGTCCTAGAGACACACATGACTCACCCAAACTGAATCATGAAGAAACAGAAACTATGAACTATGAATTATGTAAAAAATTGAAAAGGAATACATTTTAAATTCATTATGTAAGACCAACATTATATTAATATCAAAATCAGACAAAGATACTACAGGTAAAGAAAATTCCAAATATGTTTGATAAATGTTGATGCAAAAATCCTTCATGGAATACTATCAAACAATAGTTAACATCACATTAAAAGGATTATGCACCATGGTCAAGTAGGATTTAGTCCATAAATTCAAGGAACTGGAATTGTGCATTTTTAGTGGTAAAAAAATAATGCAGCCCAACAGAAAATGGTATGGTAGTTTCTAATAAGTTAAAAATAGAATGCCATATGATTCAGCATTTCTATTTCTGGGTTTTAAAGAGGACTGCCTCCCCCCACTTAAAACCAGGTGTCAAAAAGAAATTTGCAAAATCATAATCATGGCAGTATCATTTATTATAACCAAAAAGGTAAATCATTCCATTTATACATTGATGGGTGAATTGGTAAATAAAATGTAGAACATAGATAAAATAGAATATTATGCAGCTTTGAGAAGGAAGGAATTTCTGACACATGCTACATCATGGATGAAACTTGAGGACATTATACTAAACTAAATAAGTCAGTCACAAAAGATAAATACTGTATGATTTTACTTACACAATGAAACTAAAGTAGTCAAATCAACAATGCCAGAAAAATATAATGGTGGCTGCCAGTGTTCATGGGTAGAGGGAATTACACAGCCATTCCTGAATGGATATAGAGTTTCAGTTTTGCAAGATGAAGCACGTTCTTGAGATCGATGGTAGTGATGTTTGCACATTGTGAATAAACTTAATACCAATGAACTATATACTTCAAAATGGTAAGATGGTTGTTATGGAGCAATTTTTTGTGTCCCTTCAAATTCACATGTTGAAATTGTAACCCCCAGGGTGATATTAGTTGGAGTTGGGACCTTTGGGAAGTAATTAGATTAAGATGAGGTAAAGAGGGTCAGATTACCACAATATAATTGGTTTCCTTTTAAGGATAAAAAAACTAGATCTTTCTCTCTGCTATCTGAGGACACAGGATAAAGGCAGCCTCTGTAAACCAGGTAGAGGACCTTCACCAAGAACTGAATCTATTTATTCCTTTAACTTTGATATCCCAGTCTCCCGAATTTTGAGAAATAAATGTCTGTTGATTTATCCACCCAATCTTTGGTATTTTGTTATAATATCTTGAGCTAAGATAATGGCTTTAAAAAGAAAAAAGGCACATTTAAAGCTACAAATATTGCTATCAGGAGGCAAATGGGAGGAAAATCAAGGAGGTGATAATAGATCACCTCTATTTTCTCTGTGGTAGGAAAGACTGAGCTATCTGCTACAATGATAGGCAACTTCTAAAACAGCCTTTGAATACAATTAGAATAAGTTTAGAACAGTTGATTAGAGTGAATAAGAGTCAAACCAGAACAGAAAGGATGTACTGAACCCAGTTAAAGGTTTAGACAGGGTTGGCATAGGACAAGAAGTCAGAAATAAAAGTTTTTATGATCTTATTTTGATATTTGTGAAAGTTAACTGAAAAGCATATTGGTATGTGATGTGATTAATTGTGAGATATTGCTTATCAGAAATTTAAATGTAACATTTAAAATTAATAATTATTTCTAGGATCTACAAAGTCATTTAAACTCTAAAACAAATATTATAATCAATCCCCAAGTAGTATTCTTTGAAACTGTTTATGGTTAATAATAATAATATTTACTATGGACTGAGTCCTTTACCAGGTTCTAGAAATTTTACTAGGAATTTTAGTTGTCCTAATTCATTTAATTTTTACACTTTTATAAGTACTATTATCCTCAATTTTTGTAAGAAGTGAATAAAAATTGTACTATCTGACCTTATGCTTCCTTCTTACTTCAGATATTTTACATGAATTATGTCAAATACTTCTTATACTATGAAGTATTATTATGTGAATTTTAATAAGGATATATGGGTAATAAAGAGAATTGCAGGTGTAAAGAGTAGATAGCCATAATCCTAGAGCCTATTCTCTGAATTCCTATGGTAATGATTCAAACAGTAAAACACACAGACCAGATGAGCCAAAGACTTTTTAACAACACTTCAGTTATTTGGTAGCTTACCAAACTACTTCTTCAACTTAAACTTCTTGGAGTAATTTTTTAAGAGTCCACTCTGAGAATAACATACACAAATTGACAATATTGCCTTTAAAATTATACTAAACTGGAGTTTTCAGCTTACAAGGTAAATGCCATTCTTGAATTAAATGAGAAGAATGACTTTAGTTACCTTAGAATAAATATAGTATTATGCATTGAAATGTTAGCAAAGGTTGAGTTCAAGCTCCTTTCTTGATAGACTAGAAAAGAATCTGTAGTTCATAATCAGTAAGAATGTATTGGGTGGGTGAGATGAACTATCGGTATTTACCTCATTGCCAATACGTAAACATTTTTAGCACTTAAGACAGTATTTGTCATTTGTAGATATAAGTACATTTGATTCTCAGTAATACAATATTTCCATAGATGGTATTTCCAATGGAATATAGAATGATTCTTAAGATAGGTTGTTGCAATTTTTATACTTTTTATAGAAAAATTCTATAACTCAGAAATTTCTGTGAGTCTAAATGCTAAAACCACAATGAGTATAAATTAAAATCAAAACTCTCATGCTTAAATCTCTTAAAATTCTTCCTTCTGGCCTAACAGTCTCTGGATGGTAGGGCTGAGGAGTTATCTTGTGGGGATTTTCATTTTGATTACTTTTTCCCTTATTCCTATCCTCTCCTGGTTTCTTGTATGGCCTTTCTCCAGGAAGAAAGGGCAGAAACCACGAATCCCTACCATACTAACACATGGTAACTTCCAGTCTGGTTGGGTGCTGAAACAAAGCCATGGCAAGGTATTGCCATCTTTGACATTGGAGCAATTCAAGCACTTCCTGCCATGTCATTTGGCCTTTTCCTTTTCACATACTCAAAGCCTTTTTTTTCCTCTCCCTGTCTATCAGACATATTTTAATACAGAAAAAAGTTCCTGAGGGTTTCCTTTGGAGCTAATTCTCGCCAAACTTCTGGGCCCAGGCCTGTGGTTATATAGTGGAACTCTTACAGAAAAACCACGTGGCACATGTCAGTAAGAGGTCATGAATCCTGGTTCTGGTCCTGAAAAGCTATTTATGCAGGGGATGCTTCTCTTCATCTCTGTTCTTACTGTACCCCCAAATTAACTTTCACATTTGTTCCCACTTAATTTGAGCTCCTGTGACCTGTTTAACAACCATCAGTAAATTATTGTTTTCAAGTGAGAGACTTATATAAGGAGGCTTGCTACACAATTACCAATGTAGTACATAAATTCCTTTGTGATAAAATAATATCTATATATCTAAAATAAATGATCATTATATGTTTTTTCCTGACTTAAACATAATATTTTTTTCTTTTTAAACTAAATTTTATTTTGCAAATAGATTCATATTTATCATTCTATAATTTTTTTAAAAAAATACATAATTTGGGCTGGATCTGTAGCTCAATGGTAGAGTGCCCACCTCACATGTGTGAGGCACTGGGTTTGATCCTCAGTACCACATAAAAATAAAGATATTGTGTCCAACTACAATTAAAAATATATATATATATATAATTTTTAAATGCCCTATTCAGGTATCATTTTGTCAATTTGACTGCTAAAATCCTATATCTTATATCCATGTTTTTCTTTCTCACTGGAGTATTTAATAAGAGTTACAAAGTCCATATTACTTTATTTACCTCCAAGTTTTGCTCTGATGGAAATGTCTGGTACTTGCCTGGAATTCCACCTCCTACTCTGTTGCAGTTCTTCAAACAGAATTGTTTGCCTTTTTACTGTTGTTGGAAATTCAGGGTCTGGTCTAGGAATTCGATGTTGAGGTTTCACATCACTGAAATCTGCCAGGTTTGGTATAGTTCTGCCAATGCCAGGCTTTAAATCAGCATCACCACCAGGACTCACAAATCCTGAACAGGGATCAACTAAAGGCACATCATCCCGAAGTGGAAATAATGGATAATCTGGCCCATAAGGTGGAGGATAAGGATAATGTACGTGATAGTTTGGCAGGACAGAAGGGGGGTAAAGATGAAATTTAAGAAAGGCAGGATTACATTTCATTTCAAATCTGCCATAGTCATGTCTGTCTTCAAATCCTTTCACAAAGGGCATATTCATTTTTCTTAAGAGATCAGAGTAGTGTGGGTAATCTTCATTCTCAACAGTTTTTCTTCCTGAAGAGATAGAACTTTTAGGAATACTTATATTTCCAGGTTTGCACCGAACCTCCATATCTATAGCCTTTCTTCTTTTATAAGGACAGAAAATTGAAGTCAAAATTCTTATACTTCCAATAACTGAAGATTAGTGTTTATCTAGCATAAAACTTTTGATTCATCTTTCTAAATGTTGATAGAATAAGGCTTTATTTTTGGTAGAAAATTTTCTTTTTCCATAAAAAGGAGGATAGGGAAGCAAAGCAGTAAAAGAACAAGACAGAAAAAAAGCAGAGCCCTTGGTGCCGGGCAACAGCTAGAACTCTAAGACACTGAACTATTATGCACATCATAATGTAATTCTTAGGAAAACCTTGGCACTAATTCGTCCATGATGCATTTTTCTCCGATACTCAGGACAACTATGTTCATTTATCTAAAAATTTGCATAAGTTGATATTGTATGGTTAAGTTAAGGAGTATAAAGCAGTTGGTTTAGTGACAATGCATTTTTTAAGAATAATGTGACTATAATGAAAGTGTTTTCCTGATACAAATATCTTTATATTTGTGGTCTAAATAGGTGTTAAATTTAAATTTACTGCAAAGTAAACATGTATTATATTAAAGATAATTTAGTATGCCTAATTTTTAAGGAAGTAATCCCAAATTATACTCAAAGTAAAGTCTCATCCTTTACATTTTAGATAATCCTTACTTCTCTAATGCTACCATGGTGTTCAAGAACAGCAAAGAGGGTTTTAACACTAATTCTAGGAAATTACAACAAGGTATCAGTTTATTCATCCACATGAACAATAAAATCTTATTTAAATTCAAAATATAGCAGTTCACTTAAAATCTGCTTTAAATCACACAATTTAGTCTTGCAGGAAAACTGCCTCCAAGGGAATTCCAAACATTATAACATGAGATAAAAGCTCATATCACACTTAGTAAAGCCAAAATTCAACCCAGGCAAAATTGTATAAGTCAGATATATGACATGTGTATCAGGTCAGTTTTAAGACAGCAAAAGGTTAAGGTATCTGTGGTGTAATATAAAACCATTAAAATTTTAAGATATACTTCTCAACAGTAAAGGAGATTTAAATAACTGATAAGGCTGTCAGGTTTGAAATCTATGAGTATATTTTCAAAGTATATCTAGTGAGTTATTAGTCCACTCATATCACTCATTCCTTCTTATTACATCAAGGTGACAATACAATTGTTGTTAGGCAGTCTTTAGTTGCTCTTCATTCTTCAAGGTATTTGCAGCAACTGCATGAGACTTATTTTTATCATAGGTCTGCTACTAACAGGTAAATCCTTCCAGAAGCAAAAAAGTAGAGGCATAATTCCATTTCAATTGCTCTAAAAATATATTCTTGTTATAAACAGACTCTTAGGCAGAAAGGTGTTTTAGTAGGTTTTTCTAAATTTAGGTGATGAAAGATGATTTTCCAGGCTGAGTCCGAAATTCAATTCCATCTATGGTCCTTTCTTCCATTTTTCCACCGAGCTGCATCTTGGCGTTAAAAGCATTACCTTTAGCTCCCCAAATTCACTACATTTTTCTTCCAGTATATTCCATATGTCAGTAATGTACGTGTTGCCAACAGTGAGATCCAGGCAATCTCTGAGCACTGTAGGTGTATTAACTCATAAGTTTGGGGTGTTTATCAGAGTTGAACCCCAAACACTAAGACATAGCCTACATCCCATCTTGCAAAAAGGGAGTTCCCTCTGTCCATAATTGCTACTAAAAGGCCAAGACGCCGGGCTTGGGGGCTCCCGGATTCCTTGCATAGATACAGAATCTTCGACAAGTCGCTTAAGCGCTGGAGGATTCCCTCAGCAGCGGTGCTGTCTGGAAGATTCAGTGGACGCTCAGCGCGGGGCAGCGGCGAGTGTTCCTTCCTCCCCTAGTGTCAAAAGTCAAGCGGACATGCCAACACAACTCTAGCCTACCGCTCCGGCGGAAGTGGCGGCGAGTCCGTCCGGTCCGCCTTCCGGTCCACCGCCCGCCAATTTCCGGCGGCGGGTGAGCGCGCGTCGCGTAACGACCTTCTGCGTGGAGTGTAGGCAGGCGGCGGCGGCGTATGGATGGAGGCCTCTGCCTCTGGCCGGGCGTGGCAGACCTGGCGGCGGGCCCGGGCCTCGGGCTTCCCGCTCTCCCGAGCCGCCATCCTCCTCTTCTCCGCCTTTCTTGTGCGGGCGCCCCCGTCAGGTGAGGGTCGGCGGCGCCCGGTGGTCTAGCTCTGCTGGGCAACCGTGACTCCACCCTTGATTACGTTTTTCCTGTGTCACGTGCACCCGGTTTATATAAGCACTGTACTTAATTAATACCTGACCAAAAAAGTGTATTTTATGTAGAGGTCGTACAAAGTCCCTGTATTTGCAAAGAGGAGCGAATGACTGGGAAAATTAATCTTTTGAAGATAGAAGAACACTCAAACACCTGGAGTTAAAAGTTTGAAATTTAAACTGAATTAATAAACTCCTAAATTAAACCCATGGTTCATTTACTGGCTTTATATTTCTTTGTGAGTTCCATAATGTATTGTCCTGAGACAATGTATTCCATTGTATGTGTACTGTGATTTTAAAATATCCGTGATACAGGAGCTCCCTCTATTGGCTGGAGATATAAAATGCAGAATATGCTGAGTGGTTTTTTTTTTTAAGTTTTGATATCTGAAGAGCTGACATGCTTTTCCATATTCTTACAAAATACATTTATGATATTTCAAAATAACATGAGAGAAACAAATGCTGAAAAAAGTTAAGAGTATAATCGAACTGTTATTTAACTGGAAAGATTTGGCTACTTTATTTTTGTTTATGTATTCTAGACTTTCTTAAAAATAAAATCCAAGAATTGATGAATGAAAAGCACAAGAGAGGCTTCCTAAAATGCTAACACTTGTTCAAATAAAGGAAAATGAAAAAATAAGATCTCCATGAAAAATGTAGAAGGAATGTGGAAGTAATCATGGGATAGATGAGGTGGAGAAAAGAAAGAGTGAGTGAGTGGAGATTTACAAGATATGCTAAACTCCAGTCATTTGGAATCCAAAAATTGATCTATGAGAATATCCAGTGTCCTTTATTTGCAGGATTAAGATATTTTTGAAAGTGGTTCATGGTTTTGTACCTAATATGAAAGGAAGTGTTTTCATTTAAATATCTTCCTTGTCTTTTTTTTTTTTTGAACCACTAATCAGACCAGACCAAAGAGAGTATAAGAAGCAGAATAAGGAGTCAATATCTTTATATGTGAACCATGAGTACTAAAGGCCATGTATTTATATGGCATTTTATAATTTATACAAATTCCATTTAGTCCTACAGTAACTCTGTAAGGTAGAATTATTGTCCCAGTTCCAGATGAGAAAAGTTAGGCTCCTAAACTTTAAAGTGGCTTTCTTAAAACCAGTATGTGGTGGGATTTAAACTCAGATCTTCTGGCTTTTAATACCATTGTCTTTTATTTGTGCTTTACTTCTTTGTTGTTAGAGAGTACTTGGGTACAATGCTTTGTAATACTGTATTTTTATATTGATTTTCTCACTTGTTCTGTTCTCACCATTATCCCTTTCAAACGTGTTTATTCAAAAATGAGGGATATCAATATATTTCACAATTATTTAATAGTTGCCATGTACATGGTATAATGCTTTGTTTTATTTTTTGATAAGTTTATATAAACACTGATACTTCCATCAATTGAATGTATAATAGATAAAATTATATTTGTCCATAAACAACTATAATAAAATGTGGAATGAATGACATAACACAGGTGGTAGTGATATCCTGATATCCTGACAAATACGAACAAACAGGAGTTTTGAAAGAGGTAGTATTTGTGATTTGGGTCTTGAGGGATAGGAGATTTGGAATTTAGAAAGTAAAACAGTGTTCTAAGTGAATGTGAAAAAAGCCAGAAATGAGATGTAATAGGGAGAAGGCAGTAGGTAGATTAAACTCATTAGGGCACATGAAGGTGAGTAGAGTTGGAAAAGAGATATGAGATACAAGAGGAACTGGATTTATGAGCTTCACCTTTGTGTAAGATCAAGTGTACTTTAAAGTTTTAGAGTTTCCAGTGAGGAAATTTGTTAACCCTTTGCTTTCTTTTTGCCTTTCATAGTTGAATATTTGGTTCGATTTCCAAGAACTTTTCGCTTGACCCAAGAGTCAGTGAAAATAGTGGGATCATCAAGTTTTCCAGGTATTCATATATAGACTCACAATAATTTTAAAAAGTAACATTTGTTTACATTTTTTCTTTTTAGTTATACATGACATTAAGAATTTATTTTTGACATATCATACATACATGGAATATAACTTGCCATTTTTGTGATTTAAATTTTATTAGTGTTTTCCAAAAGGCTAATGTTTCCTAGTTCTCCTGTCTTCTAAAGTTCATGTCCTTCTACAGAAATGGATTAAAGTTCTTTCCATATAGTTAGAGTCTTTAAAGTTTAATTTTTATGCTATAATGACATAAGTATGCAAAGGATAATTCTAAAATTTAGTTAAAGTTGCCAATATTGTTTTTGCTTATTGTAGAATGCTAGCTATAATATTAAATATGGAAAATTTAAATATGCTAAAACATTTTAAATGAGATTTTGGATTTGCAAAATCTTATAAAAGTCACATGAGACACAGAAGCCACAACTTTGTTTTTGCATTTTTATCAGGGTATAAATTCATTTTCCATAAAATTGGTGTGTTGGCAATGTTAGATAACATCCCCACTATCTTACATCGCATTTTCATCACTCTGAATAAAAACATCATACTCATTAGGTCATCACTTTCCAGCCCCTGGAAACAACAAATTGGCTTCCTGTTTGTGTATATTTGCCGATTCCAGACATTAGTGGAATTATAATTGTAATTGTAGTAGCCTTTTGTGTCTGGGTTCATTCACTTAGTTTAAGGTATTTGAGGCTTATCATGTTATACAATATGTAAGTACTTCCTTTTTGCAGTTGAATAATATTTTATTTCGTATAAATGTTTGTTTTCCTTTCTCTTAGGCATTTTCCTAGGGAATTTGCTAGAAAACAGATGATTCTATTTTTAACATTTTGAAAAACTGCCAAACTAATTTTCAAAGAGCCTGAACTAGCTTACTTTCACACTAGTAATGTTAGAGGGTTCAAACTTTCCAACATCCTCACCAATACTTGTTACTATCCATCTTTTTTTGTTTACAGCTATCTTAATGTGTATAAAGTGGAATCTTGTGATTTTGATTTGTATTTCTCTAATAGCTAATGATTTTATGTTTATGGCCATGTGAATACCATTTTGCAAAAATGGCTATTTAGATCTTTTTCCTGTTTTTAAAATATTTTTGGTTGTTGTTGAGTTATAGTGTTCTTTATATATTCTGAGTGTTGTACACATACCATACAAATGATTTACAAATATTTTCTCCAATTACGTGGATTGTATTTTAACTTTATTAATGTATCTTTTGAAATTTACATTTTAAAGTTTGATAAAGTCTAATTTCTATTTTTTTTCTGGTACTTCTGGTGTCATATTTAAGAAATTATCACCTAACCAGTTGTGATCATTAATGGAGCAATAATTTCCTTATATGTTTCTTCATATGAGTTTCATTGTTTTAGCTTTTTTATTTAGGTCTTTGATCCATTTTGAGTCAATTTTTATGATGCAAGAGAGAGATCAAATTCCTTCTTTAGCATGTGGTTGTTACCTAATTGTTCTAGTACCATTTGTTGAAGATACCATTTTCTCTGTATTTAATTGTCTTGGCACCCTTCTTAAAAAATGATTAGCCATAGTTTATGAGTTTTACTTATGAGCACCATTGATGTATATTAATTTTTGTTCTGAATGTTTTGTAGTTTTCAGTGTACAAGTCTTGCATTTCTTTTGCTAGCCTTATTTCTAAATATTTTATTATTTTGATGCTGTTATAAATGGAAGAATTTTATTTAGTTCATGGATTGTTCACTACTAGAAGTACAATTGATATTTTCATTCATATATATATGTTTCCTCATGTCAATACCTTGTTGGCTATTGTTGCTTTATAATAAATTTTTGAGCTATGAAGTGTAAATCTTTAATAAATTTTTTTCTTTTACAGAATGTTATGGTTATTCTTGCATTTCCATATCAACTCTTGATTTAGTGTGTCAGTTTCTGCAAGAAATCCCTTGGTCTTAAAGTAGGAATTGCATTGACTCTGCAGATCTGTTTTTGTCATCTTAACAATTTTAAGTATTTTCAATCCAGGAATATGGACTATCTTTCTATTTAAGTTTTCTTTAATTTCACTTTATGATGTTTTGTAGTGTTCAGTGTACAAGTTTTAACTTTTCTTTTGTTCAGTTTTTTTACTAAATATTTTACTACTATTGATGCTGTTGTAAATAGAAGGATTTTATTTAGTTTGTGGATTGTTCATTGAAAAATTGTAGAAATACAGATGATATTTTGGTCATATCCTGCCATCTTGCTTTATTCATTATTTAGCTCTATTTTTAGGGTGGTTCATTAAAATTTTTTTGACATCTGCAAATGGAGATAGTTCTATTTCCTTCCTTTCCAATCTGAATTCCTTTTATATTTTCATGCCAGCTTCTTAGGTAGAACCTCCAGTTCAATATTGATGATAACAGATATCTTTGTCTTGCTCCTGATCTTAGGGAAGGAAAAGTTTTCAGTTGTTTTCATTAAGTTGGATGGTAGGTATGAGGTTTTTTTGAATAGATGTCCTTAATTAGGTTGAGTAAGTTCACTCTGTTCAGTTTTACAATGTGTGTGTGTGTGTGTGTGTGTGTGTGTGTGTGTGTGTGTGCGTGCGCACGCGCGCGCAAGCGAGTGTATGTATGTATGTATGTATGTATGTGTAAGGGAGGGAGAGAGAGTGTTAGATTTTGTCATATTTTTCACATCTATGGAAATGATCATTTGTTTTTTAATCCTTGCTTCTATTAACATGTTGCAGTATATTGACAAATTTTAGTATTCTGAATCAGCATTGAATTCCTGGAATAAATCTTAGTTGACTGTGATATATAGTCCCTTTTTTATTAATACTGCCAGATTTGGTTGCCAGTATTTTGATGATTTTTATACCTCTAGATTCATAAGGAAATTTGATCTGTAGTTTACTTGTGATATCTTCATTTGATTTTGGTTTTAGAAAAATATTAGATTTGTAGAACAAGTTGGAATGTTTTCCCTCCTATTTTTTTGAAAAAGTATATGAAGGATTATTGTTAATTGTGCTTTAATCTTTTGGTAGAATTTACCAGTGAATCCATCTGGTACTGGATTTTTCTTTGTGGAAGTTTTTTGAATACTAATTTAATCACTGTGGTTGTTTTAGGTCTGTTCAGATTTTCTGTTTCATTGTCTTCAAATGAGAAATAAGCTAGTAATTGAAGACCACTTGTATGTGGTTAGTTCCTTTCTTTGTTGCTACCAGTATTATATTTTTGTTTATAGACTTAATTATGTACCTGTGTATAAATTTCTTTGGGTTAATTTTAATTAGAGTTCATTGAACTTCTTGGATTTGTAGATTCATACTATTCATCCTTTTGGGGATGTGTTTATCATTATTTCTTTAAATATCTTTTGTGTCTCTCCCCGCTCTTCATGGAGCACTCATTATTATGCATGTACTCATGATTTGATGATTTCTCTCATGTCTCTAAGTCTTTATTCATTTATCTTTATTTCTTTATTCTTCAGACTGGATAACCCCAAATTGTTTGTCTTAAAATTCACTGATTCTTCTGTCTGATCAAGCTGTTGATTCCTTTTAGATATTTTTTTTTAATTTCAATTATTATATTTTTTAAAATTTATTTTTTTAGTTGTAGCTGGACACAATACCTTTATTTTATTTATTTTTATGTGGTGCTGAGGATCGAACCCAGGGCCTCACACTTGTTAGGTGAGTGCTCTACTGCTGAGCCACAACTCCGGCCCTCAATTATATTTTTTTTAAAGGGAGACAGAGAGAGAGAGAGAGAGAACTTTTTTAATATTTATTTTTTAGTTTTCGGTGGACACAACATCTTTATTTTTTTATTTTTATGTGGTGCTGAGGATTGAACCCAGCGCCCCAAGCACACCAGGCAAGCATGCTACCGCTTGAGCCACATCCCCAGCCCCAATTATTATATTTTAATTGTTCTTTTATAATTTATATCTTTGTTGATATTCTCTGTTTAGGGAGATGATCATCTCATACTTTTTTTTTTATTTCTTTAGACATTGTTTTCTTGTACTATATTTAAAATAGCTAATTTAATATGTATTTATGCAGTAAGCCCAATATTTGATCTTAATTTTAGGGAAAGTTTCAATTAGCTGCTCTTTTTCTATGTATGTAATTGAACTTTTTTCTATTTTTTTTGCATGTTTATGTTTTTAGTTGAAAACTGAAAATATTAATTATATAGCAAAACAACTCTCTAAGATTCTTATTTCCTCCCAGAATATGATGTTGTTTGCCTATCTTTTTTGTTTGTTTAGTGACTTTTTTAAACTAATTGTGTAAATTATTTATTCTTTACATGCATAACCACTGAACTTTCTGAACAGTTGTCTTTGGCTAATGATTATATAGAACTCTAATTAAACAGCTTAGTCTTTGCTGAGGTCTATGTGTACATATTGTGGATTGTATCTTTAATTTTTAGTGTCTTTTATTTTTAGCTATGTATTTGACAGTTCTACCTTAGCATTGACTTTATGCTATGTAGAATCTCAATTTCAGTTAGAGGTGAGAACATGAGGCTTCTTGGTATTTACTGAGAGGGCACACATCCTGGACATACATACAGCCTGGAATATACAGGTTTCTATTTTGTTAGGAATGTGTCAGTTTTCTTACTTCCTGTGGAAATGTTACTCACCAGATTTTTATCTTAAGCTTTTGGTTAACTTACTAGTTTCCAACTATCCTCTACTGTATCAGGCAGTCACAAAGTTAAGGGAAGATAGCCTTGTGAATGGGGTCTTTCAAGAGATTGCTAGACAGGTCTAATAATGACAGTTCTCTGGGAAGGAAGTTTTGGAGTTATTTTGATCTTGTCTGCCCCTTCCAGTGGTTGTGAGGCTGATGGTTCTCACTATAATTTAAGACTTTACTTTCAAGAATACTACAGAGATTGTGAAGACAGCAAAAGAGCAAGTTAAAATGCTTTAAGAGCACCATTTTTT